ACTGTGCTAGTTAAGTGTTGGTTCTGAGAGAGAGAGAGAGAGAGAGAGAGAGAGAGAGAGCCGCTGCTAACGAATATTGGAAGACAGAAGATCGATCGGATTTTCGACCCTTCCTTGACTTGTTTCTTGAGCCAGGACTAAAGAGGCTTCACGTCTCTCATTATGAGGACCTTTCTTTCTTTCTTTCTTTCTTTCTTTCTCACTTCGTCTGAGACTATCTCCTCCATATCTCATCGTGTCATATCCGTGTGTGTGTGTGTAGATCACTCTCCCTCTCTACAGTGACACTAATAGAACATCAACGGATCATATACTGTACTGGAGACTACCGTAAAAAAAAAGTCCTAGTTAATACAAGTAACAGTTTTACCCTAGTAATCTCTATCTCTCTTAGTGTGGTGTCTTTTGTCTATTAATTCATTGTTTGATAATTATATATATATATGGTAAATAATAAATACGTAAGAGTAAACAAATCTACAGCATCTCTTCACTAACCACTATATTGACTTCCTGTATACTCGCGGTCTATAATTTTTTTTTTTTTACTTTTTTCTCCCCATTTTTTCCCGCTCATGTGTACGACAACTTCAGTGTATCCGACGTACAGAATGTTCGAGGGTGTTGAAGACGTGTGGCAAGAGACTACCTATAGGACGCGTTAGACTTATGTCATTAGTTTTCTGTTTTTCTAACTTGTACCTGACGTTTTCCTCCCACGCCCCGGCGCCCCCTTCTTCCACGCCTCCACTCACTAGATGACATAACCACCTTACGCCTCTTCTCCCACACCCTCACTATCCATCCCCCACGCCCTCACTATACCTGACACTACCCCTCCTCCTCGCCTTCACTACCTGACACTATACACCTCCCCCACGCCCTTACTACCTGACACTACACCTCCCCCACGCCCTTACTACACCTCCCTCCCACGCCTGCCCTCACTATGTCTCCACCCTCCCCCACGCCCTCACCACCTGACACTACACCTCTCCACGCCCTCAATATGTCTCCACCCTCCCCACGCCCTCACTACCTTACTACTACACCTCCCACGCCCTTACTACCTGACACTACACCTCCCACGCCCTACTACACCTCTCCCACGCCCTCACTATGTTCCACCCTCCCCCACGCCCTCACTACCTGACACCTCACACCTCCCACGCCCTCCACATATGTCCCCACCCTCCCCACGCCCTCACTACCTGACACTACACCTCTCCCACGCCCTCAATATGTCTCCACCTCCCCCACGCCCTCACTACCTGACATTACACCTCTCCCACGCCCTCACTACCTGACACTACACCTCTCCACGCCCTCAATATGTCCCTCCCCCACGCCCCTCAATATGTCTCCCCACCCTCCCACGCCCTCACTACCTGACACCACACCTCTCCCACGCCCCAATATGTCCCCCACCCTCCCCACGCCCTCCTACCTGACATTACCCTCCCACGCCCTCACCCCTCCCCACGCCCTGCTACACTACACCTCCCACGCCCCTCAATATGTCTCCACCCCCCCCCGCCCTCACTACCTGACACTACACCTCCCACGCCCCTCAATATGTCTCCACCCTCCCCCACGCCCTCAATATGTCTCCACCCTCCCCCACGCCCTCACTACCTGACACTACACCTCTCCCACGCCCTCAATATGTCTCCACCCTCCCCCACGCCCTCACTACCTGACACTACACCTCTCCCACGCCCTCAATATGTCTCCACCCTCCCCCACGCCCTCACATCCCCGAAGACACTCACGCCTTCCAAAGTACCTGTCTTGCTTGATACAGACCGATGACCGTGTGTGTATGTGTGTGTGTGTGTGTGTGTGTGTGTGTTAGCCACACACCTCAGCACCACACGCAAACCTCAGTACCACACACACACACTATAACAACAGTACAACACACAAACATTAATATATATATATATATATATATATATATATATATATATATATATATATATATATATATATATATATATATATATATATATATAATTTACTTAAAAAATATTTGTGATGGTTATTGAAAATGTTTTCACTTATTATTATTATTATTATTATTATTATTATTGTTATTATTATTATTATTATTATTATTTATGAGAATCTTTCAATAGGTATATGTAAGATGTTATCTATCTTTCATATTATACTGGTTTCCTTTATCTATTACTACTACTTAAGATGTATTTAATATCGTAATTAAAGGTGTTGTCCAGCCTCATAGATATAGAATTTGTTTCTATTATTAAAAAGGTTTTTAACATATCGATGAAGGGAGTTATTTTTGCGAGTAAATTTAAAGATCAGACTCAGTTGTCAGCGACCCGCCATCAGGGTGTTCCGAGTGGCCTGGTTTACACATGATTAATGACGCCTCGTCCTACCCCTGGGAGCATTATTATTATTATTATTATTATTAACATCCATAATACTATTACTACTTTTATATTTATTGTCTCTATATTAATATCGCCGTTATTATGATTATTAGCATTATTATTATTACGGTAATATTCTTATCAATATTGTTCCTGCCGTCAATGTTGTTATTATTATGCAGGGATGTATGGACTCAATCGCCGATTGAGCTTTAAAAAGCAACTACCATTTTGCCAAATAAGGATTTTTTTCTTCTTTTTATTGGTGCAACTTGATGGAAATTAAAATGTATATAGTACAATTTGCTGTTTCGTTATAGACGTCGTTTGCCATCATCAGAAAGCCAAACCATACCTAAATTAGCTTAGGTTAGTAATGAACTAATGATGATATTCTTTGTATTTTCATTACCGGTATCTACAGTACATGGTGTTTTCTATATATATATATATATATATATATATATATATATATATATATATATATATATATATATATATATATATATATATATATATATATATACACGGGTATAGTGGTGTAGGCTACAGTACTTCCCTTGTTAATGAAGGTAAGGGTTTATATCCGGTGTTCATTACAGCGAACTAAAGTAATAATATTGCTGGTGTAATTATCTCATTGGGTAAGACGTACTGTAGTGAGGCCCACTTTACTGTACAGAGATTCATTAAAGTACTGTATATTGTGTCCTTGGGTTGTGCACCTTGTTCACCTTACACAATAACTAATATGTCTTAATTAACGTTTCTCTTTCCCCCAAAATCGAATGTAAGTAAAGGAGACTAATAAGCGTATCAGCCCGCGTGGGTCATTATCACTCGTATATCTGTCCAACCTATACAGTACAGTATATTTGAATCGTCCCAGAGTGACTGAATGAAAGATGTTAGTTGGTAATTTGTTCTATTTATCTACAACTTTTTTTCTAAATCACTGTTTATCTATTTTCTTTCTAAATCTATTATTTATTCAAACCCGTCGTTACGAGTTCTGTCTTGATAGCATGGTTTAAGTACCTTATTTATATCACCTGTATTTAACCTCATTTGTCCACCTCCATCATATCGCTCCTCACTCTACGTCTCTCGGGGAATAGAATTTATTTATTTTTAATCAGTCTCTGTATGAAAAGCTCCTAGTGCCCGAGATTAACTTTGTCATCCTCCTTTGAATGCTTTCAAGAGCATCTATATCCATTCTATAGAGCGGTGACCAACCTAAACAGCTTATGGCAGGTGAGGTCTTTACTAACGAGACTGACGCCCGGAGTTTTAAATATTCTCTTCCGTTGAAGAGGGTCGTCGTGTTTCAACCCGAGTTTAAAAAAAAATATGGCTCATGGTATTAAGACTGCTAGATAAAAACATTAATACTAAATTAGCCTTAATACGTACATAAATACGTTGTTCTCTTGGTATGTGATCCTTACTAAACGTATTTCTCTACATCTTCATTGTTGAGCTGATAGCTAATTCCACTATTTTCCTTTCCCTGCCTAAAAACTTAACTTTTCCTCTACATTAAGCAGCATTTACCATTTTTCCGTCAACACTAAAAGCTTAAGTAGGTGCTCCTGTAATCCTGTCGAGTCTTCATCTTAATTAATTATACGCTTATTCTTGTGTCGTGAGCCAATGCATGTTGGTGTGTACAGTACGCCTATGTCGCCTGGAGATACAAGAACTAATAATAATTATATAGACTTGTGTTACCTGCTGTCCTCTCCTGTTGTCAGAAGTTACGGAGATGATAATTAACAGTTGTTGATTAATAATGAAAAGGGCAAAAGGTTAACACTAATGTTAATAATAACAAGAAGAAATAACAATCACTGCTTCTTATTATTAAAACCATAATATTATAACTATTGCTTTAACTCATGTCATTATTATGCATTTACGGTTTCAAAATCTCTCAGCATACCACGGAGGGCCCGCGGTAGTAACCAACACGTGTTTCTCACTATTAGCTTGGACTAGGGTACAGGTACCTATGGGAGTACATTGGCAACCCTGAGCCTCACCGCACTGTTTGTAAACTTTGTGGCCAACCCGACTCTCACACCCTCTCTCACTACATCCTCACTTGCCCTATGACCTCCTCCTATAGGTCCCCAGCCGTTACCAACACCTCTTCCTTCCCAGACCAGATATCCCTCCTCCTAGTCACAGGCCTGGCATTTGACATTATTAGGGACCTGCCACTCTTTGCCATAAACAGATAAAATGTACCAGGAACTTTCCCCCCACACACTCATCATTCTCTCACTTTATGTAACTTGACAGAACCTATGACCCTTCAGGCTTTTACGCCTTTAATGTACGAGTCATAAAGGCAAGTATGAACTTTTCATACTTCCCTGTTGAGCGCTGTAAACGCTTCTGCGCTTCACCTTGCACAGGATGTAAGGGGGTACCCAATAAACTAGCCCCCTCGGGGGCAAATCTGAAATCTATTAGCTTGGACACTGAGGCAATACTAACGATTACTTTAGTCGCACCGATAAAACTCTGTGTGTGTGTGTGTGTGTGTGTGTGTGTGTGCTGTACTGTACTATAATAACATCTCTCCCCCAGACGATGGCCGCGAGCGCTTTTCTAAGTGTGAGACTCACCACTGTGGTGTTGCTGACCACACTCGCCTGCCTCCAAGCATACACCAACGCCGTAGACTGTCGGTAAGTACCTGGCCTGACCTCCCTCTCCCACTGTCTGTACCTCCACCACCTGACACTGTACCTCCACCACCTGACACTGTACCTCCACCACCTGACACTGTACCTCCACCACCTGACACTGTACCTCCACCACCTGACACTGTACCTCCACCACCTGACACTGTACCTCACAGGGCACATGGCACCGTACCTCCACCACCTGACACTATACCTCCACCACCTGACACTGTACCTCCACCACCTGACACTGTACCTCCACCACCTGACACTGTACCACCACCACCTGACACTGTACCTCCACCACCTGACACTATACCTCCACCACCTGACACTGTACCTCCACCACCTGACACTGTACCTCCACCACCTGACACTGTACCTCCACCACTTGACACTGTACCTCCACCATCTGACACTGTACCTCCACCACCTGACACTGTACCTCCACCACTTGACACTGTACCTCCACCATCTGACACTGTACCTCCACCATCTGACACTGTACCTCCACCACCTGACACTGTACCTCCACCACCTGACACTGTACCACCACCACCTGACACTGTACCTCCACTACCTGACACTGTACCTCCACCACCTGACACTGTACCTCCACTACCTGACACTGTTCCGCACACTAAGGCCTCTATCATGCCAAGTTCTTAAACAGCAAGTATTTAATTGTCTAAACGTGGAGTCGACAAAATGTTTTAGACAAAATGTAATAGACAAAATATAGTAGATACATCCCTCCTACAATCTCCCTCTCTCCCTCACACTATCTCCCTCTCCCCTCACACCCTCTCCCTCACACTATCTCCCTCTCCCCTCACACATCCCTCCTACAATCTCCCTCTCTCCCTCACACCCTCTCCCTCACACTATCTCCCTCTCCCCTCACACATCCCTCCTACCATCTCCCTCTCTCCCTCACACTATCACCCACTCTCCCTTGTACTAACTCCCTCTCTCTCACACACACTATCTCCCTTTCTCCCTCTCACACACACACCCTTTCCCCTCTCACCATGGTTCCACTATCAACATGACTCTCCATTCCCTTCCCCTCTCTCCCCTCCAGAAGATACCCTGATGACCCTCAACATACAATGCACCCCCCACTTTCCCTTCCCTCAACCCCACCCCCTATAAAAGAGCTACCTGTTGACTTGGCGACTTATTACCTGTAATCATCAACCTCCCTCCCCCTTCTCCCCATTATCTCTCCTTCGTCTCCTATCCTTTCTTCTCCTGTATCCCTTCCTCTCTTCCTTTTCCTTCCCCTTTCCCCTTCTTTTCCATCCCTTATCTCTATTTCCTCCCTCTTTTACCTCCACTTTTTCCCTCCTCTCCTCCCCATGTCCTCTTCTACCTCTTATGTTCCATCCCCCTCATTCCTTCTTGCCTCCCTCTCTCCTCGTCTCTTCCCCACCGTTCTTTCCCCTTGTCCCCCACCGTCCAATCCTCTCCAAATCTTCCTCTTTTTCCTCCTCTCTTCCCTCTTCCCCACACCTCTTCTCCTCCCCTCCCCTTCCTCTCCCTACCTGGCTCATGAACGTTACCTTAAATACACATTACCTGTTTGGACGTTTAATTATGTGTGTACAGGTGAAGAGAAATAATTATACCCCTAACTATCCGATTGAAAATGGGTCCCATAGTCCTGACTGGTCGTTAGGGACAGTGTGAGTACAGCACACGGTATAATAAGCCTTCGGTACAGAGAGAGGCTGCGTGGCTGGCACTGCATTCTACCGCCTTCACTTCCCCAACTATAAAGTTAGATACCCCTTTATAGCTGGGTGAACTTGGATGCCCTGGGTGCCTACTACCAACCCTTAGGACGGGAGGCGAGTGTTGTATCCACTCGGCCGCCGCACCCGACCTGTGCAATTAACATTAACTGCAACAGTAATAATAGAAAGTTACAAACGAACATAATAACAAATTTAATTATATTAAGATAATCGTCAGACTCAGCCTCAAAATGCAAATTACCTTTTTGGATACAGCACACTGTATACTAAACCTTCGGTACACAAGGGGGCAGCATGGCCAGTACTGCACTCGACCGCCTTCACCTCCCCAAGTTGTAAGCTTGGGTACCCATTTATAGGAACATAAGAATGGATAAAACCGCAGCGAGCCTATTGGCCCATACTAGACAGCCACGTTTACACCCAACCCCTCTCACTCATATATCCGTCCAACCTATAGAAGCTTTCCATTGAGTTCGAGATAATGGTGGTGTCTGGTAACTTGCTCCACTCATCCACAACTCTTTTTCCAAACCAGCGTTTACCAATCTCGCGCCTAAATCTAAATTTGTCTAATTTAAATCCATTACTACGTGTTCGCTCCTGGTTAGATAGTTTAAGTACCTTTGCTATATCGCCTTTGTTTAACCCTGACTTCCATATACAGGGGTATACCTACTGTATCTCGATTATATCGCCCTTCACTCTACGTCTCTTGAGGGAGTGCAAATTCAGATGATTTAGACTGTCACCATACTCAAGGTTACTAATGCCAGGGATTAGCTTTGCTACCCCCCCCCCCTGAATTCTTTCTAAGGAATCGATATCCATTCTGTAGTACGGTGACCAAAACTGAACCGCATAATCCCAGTGAGGTCTACATCCGCGAGATACTCCTTGATAATTATGAACCCAAGTAAACCTTGTTAGCCTTGTTTCGACCATACGGGTATACGCATTGCTGTCTTGATTTAAGATTTCTTCTTATCATTACTCCTAAATCTTTCTCAGTCTGATTTCTTCATATCAAGGATGTTCATTGGTTTCTCTGTTTCAGTTTCCCAGCTTTATTACTTTACCTTTTTCCACCTTAATTTTCATCTGCTATTTTTCATACCACGATTAAAGTTTGTTTAGGCCTTCCTGTAATTTTTCAGTCCTCTTCAGATTTAGTTACAGCAAATTTATTTATATTACAGTCTACGCCTATATCTATATCGTTAATCTATATAATAAATAGTATTGGTCCAAGTACTGAGCCTTAGGGTACTCCACTAGTGACGTTACCCCAATCGGATTTAGTGTCATTAATGCAGACTGTTTCATGTCCTGTAACCACGCGGTAATCCAATTTAGAATATCCCCTCCAATTTCATGAGCCTTTAATTTACGAATTAGTCTTTCGTGGGGGACCCTGTCGAAGACTTGGCTAAAGTTGAGGTAAAACACGTTATAATCGTGTCCGCCGTCAACTGATTCGAAAACAATTGAAAAAAATTATAATTTCCTGCATTTCTCAGACAATAACGCCCTCTGGTAAAGCCATGCTGAATATCAATAATCAATTTGTTTCTCGAGGTGATTTCGAATTGACTTTGTAACAAATGCTTCAAGAAATGTTCCTGCAATTTGTTAAAATGATTGGACGGTAATTGGAGGATAGTGATCTATCCAATTTCTTGAAAATCTGTGTCACATTCGCTATCCTCGATGATTCTGATACTACGCTCGATTTTAATGACATTTTAAACAAGTTTGTTAAAGGCATACTAAGTTCTTCCTTACATTCCTTTAATACTCCGGCAAATATCACGTCGGGACCTGGCCACTTGTTAGGTTTTAGTTTATCTATTTATTTACCAACATCGTTACTAGTCATTACTACTGTAAAAATGGTTTAATCAATTTTCTTCACTATCTCTCTAGATAGTCGGTGCCTCGGGTATCAAGTTTTCGGTTGTGAAAACTGATGGAAAATATTTGTTCAGAATATTGGTTATACAGTATCTTCCTCGTTATCAGTTAGCTCGCCGGTATCTGACTATTGGACCAATCTCATCACGAGTTTTGGTTTGATACATTTGGAAAAATCCTTAGGCCTTTGGGTTTGATTTTTATATTTTGTCCAATAATATTTTTTAAATAAAATTATTCGTCAAATGTAAGGTCAAAGTTTGCTCTGCGGAAATCTGGAACCTCAATAGAATTTTTCTCGTGACTGACAAAAAGTGCTATTTTAAATCTTAATTCCTTGTGATCGATGTTTGCTTCCCACGTCGACATTATTAATGAGGTGCTCCCTGTTTGACAGAACTAAGTCTAATATGGTTTTCCCCGGGTGGGTTCAGCTATATGTTAATTTAGGAAAGTCCTGAATCGTTTCAAGGAAATCCTCTGATTTGAATAAAGTTGAAGTTGCCTACTATACAGACTTTACAATGTCATTCACTCGGGGTGAATGGTGAAGGGCGTCCACCAATAGCTGCCCTGTACTGTACTCACCAAGGAGTTCTTCACTCCGACTCCGGCCAATAGCGTTGCCTCCTGTACTGGGTGAACTGGATGTGTCCGAGATCGCACCACCGACCCTTGGAGCAGAAGGCGAACACTGTATCCAATTGACCGCCGCATTCCTACTGAAACGTAATGAAATTTGATTCATATAAATACAATTTCCTGTTTCAATTTAGACATCCTCTCCTATTATAACATAGCCAAACAGTATCTTAATTAGGTTGGTAAAGCTTGATTAGATTAGGTTATGTTAATTAGGTTAAATAATGATTCTATCCATTTATATAGTAGTTGGTATTGCAATTATACAGTATACATGAGCATATCCACATACAAAAATCAATTTATATATATATATACTTCTACCGAGGTAAATATCATTTGTCGCTGCACAGACTGATATTAAAACTTCACTGTCTCTCAAGTCCAGGTGTAATGTAACAAGTCATAACTAATAAAAATAACATGATAAAGGAGAAAAAATGACAGCTTGGGGTAAGAAGGGCGGGGGAGTAGGAGGGGTAAGGAGGAGGAAGGGGGGTCTGATACTGGTGATAGACTTGACCCATTTTGTGAGCGAGTGAGCAGAAGATGTTGGTTACCACAGCCACGATATTAACTAGATTATGGCGACCCTTCTAAGAGGCTTCCTCATCACCATGGTTCGCTGGTCAAAGTATTGCTGCTGATGGTTTAGGTGTGGGGTGTGTGGTGGGGGTGTGGGGTGTGTGGTGTGGGGGGTGTGGGGTGGTGTGTGGTGGGTGTGGTGGGTGTGGTGTGTGGTGGGTGTGTGGTGTGTGGGGTGTGGGTGTGTGGTGTGTGGGTGTGGTGGGTGTGTGTGGTGTTGTTGGGTGTGGTGGGGTGTGTGGGGTGTGGTGGGGGTGTGTGGGTGTGGGTGTGGTGGGTGTGGGGGGTGTGGTGTGTGGGTGTGGTGTGTGGTGTGGCGGGTGTGTGTGGTGGGGGTGTGGGTGTGTCGGGGGTGTGGGCGTGTAAGGGGTGTGGATGTGTAAAGGGTGTGGGTATGTGGAAGGGTGTGTGTGGAGGGTGGGGAAGATTGTGGAGTATGATGGGAGTGAGATGAGGGTGTTTGGGTGTTGGGGTGTGTGTGGGGGAGTGGATGTATTGGAGTAAGAGTGCGTGCGTAGGGTGTGTGGGGGGATTTAGTAGCGGTAATAATTGCAGGATAACTCGTGCAGTACATATATCCCGAAATATGTGGACGTACACTTGTATATGCGTACGTGTATCTATAACTTGGTATGCTGAAAGTGTAGGCCTATATATAATAATAATAATAATAAATAATATTAATAATTAACGATTTATTGAAAGAGCATGGCAGCCGGAAGGCTGAAAATATACAGTTACATAATTGGGGAATAGGTCTCTTGATTTACAAATAAAATACAAGAAACATAAGTGATACAATTATGATATATAATAACTAGGTGGAGAGAAGCTCAAACTACAGGGCATTTCAACACAGTGACAGTGCAAAAAGTAAGATTGACTGGGAGTGAATAAACTGGTTGATTATAAGTTATTGATAATTTTTACAATGGTTGGGACTGGGCTGTTCTTATAGCGATCAGTTCGTGTGTGTGTGTGTAAGTTTAAATGAAAGTGTCTGTGCTCAATTTGCGCATGGCACTTGGTGTCTGGGGCGGACATACACGTACACATCATCCCTGTGCATATGTACACGGGATAATTGTGTGTACACATTAGTGTGTGCACAGCGTTACCGCCGCGCTGGCCTCACCGTTTTTGAGGAGCCAAACTTTATACTTATATGATTAACAACCAGGTCTGCTGTGAGTTCCCTGTTGTCTGCTGTGAGTTCCCTGTTGTCTGCTGTGTGTTCCCTGTTGTCTGCTGTGTGTTCCCTGTTGTCTGCTGTGTGTTCCCTGTTGTCTGCTGTGAGTTCCCTGTTGTCTGCTGTGTGTTCCCTGTTGTCTGCTGTGTTCCACTGTTTGATGTGTGTTCCCTATTGTTTGTTCCGTCGTCTGCTGTGTTCCCTCTTATCTGCTGTATGTGCTCCATTGTCTGTTGTATGCCCTGTGGTCAACTGTGTGTTCACTGTTGTTTGCTTGTTTCCTGTTGTCGTCTGTGTTCCCTGTCGTCTGCTATGTGTGTTCCCTGTTACCTGTGTTCTGTTGGCTCCTGTGAGTATTCCCTGTTGTCTGCAGTGTATGGTGTATAAACTACCGTATGTGCGTTATGTGACATTCGGGTTAAGAGTGCTATGTTTGTCATCACTGTGTTGTTCATGATTTACTCGTACATGCTGTGTGTGCTGTGTTCTGTGAAACTGCTGTAAAGAGGAACACAACCACCCGTCCTCATAGCCTGCCCGCTACTCACTAACTGACGGCCAACTCTTCCTTTCCGCCAGAAAGTTCGTCTTCGCGCCAGTATGCAGAGGGATCATCGCAAAGAGGATGGTATCTGAGAAGCGATCATCGTTCAGGTCAGTAACCTCTTTTACTCGTTTAAATGTCTATTTTTGGCTAATATGCCATTAAAAATTAAAACTCAACGGATAAGATAGCAGGAAATTTATCAATATTGGTACTTTCTGTAGGCCAACTGCCGACACACAGTGGAACTCTCAGTACAGGGCCCCGACCGAGACAGAGGCTGAGAATCTCCTATTGGCTTCCTCTTACGATGACGTCATGGAGCCACGCCCACAGGAAGACATGGTTTGTACCCAGAGTTTCGTAACGATTTCACACTTTCAAGAGTAACCCCTCCTGACCTCTAATAACCCCTCATGACCTCTAAAAACAACACATTGACCTCTCATAAGACCTCATGACCTCTAATAACCCCTCATAATCACTAATAACCCTTCATAGCCTCTAATAACACCTCATGACCTCTACTAACACCCTCATGACCTCTAGTAACCCATTATGACCTCTAATAACCCCTCGTGACCTCTAATAACACCTCATAACATCTGCTACCACCCCAGGACCTCTAATAATACCTCATGACCTCTAATAACCCCATGACCTCTAATAACACCTCATGACCTCTAATAACCCCTCATGACCTCGAAAAACTCATGACCTCTAATAACACATCACAACCTCTAGAAACCCTTCATAACTTCTACTAACACCTCATGACCTATAATAACATCTCGTGACCTCTACTTTTAATGATCTCTGGTGACCCTATATGACTTAATGACCTCTGGTGACCCTATATGACTTATTGACCCCTGGTAACCCTATATATCCCCAGGTGGTGGTGCGGGCCGGGAGTGACGTGGTCCAGGTTCCAGCCTATGTCTTCGGGGTGATCGAGCGCAGTCTCCAGGGCGAGAGGAAATAGATCCTATATAGAGATTTCATGACGAGGACTACGCGAGGACGACCACCGAAGACGATCTCGAGGTCGACCCCGAGATGATTCCGAGGGTGAATCTTGAACACGACCTCGAGGATTAATTGGAGGACAACACCGAGGGCGATGCTGAAAGCGAACTCAAAGTTTTTTTATTGGTGTCCTCGGGCGGTCCACGGCTGATATACCTGCTGGCCGTGTGGTGGTTCACATTTTACAGTGATATTATTATTATTATTACTATTATTATTATTACTACTACTACTACTACTACCACCACTATTATCTAGCTGATTCTCTCGTATGCTGCTTGTCTCACCAGGAGTCGTAAGAGATAGTTCAAATATTTAGGCTTCGAATTAAAGTTGCTGAGACTTCTTTATAGCGAAGACCCGCTATACAGATTTAACAGTAAGAGCGATGAGAAATATTTAAAGATCTGTAATTCCTAGAGGAAGAAACCTTTTCGAAAAACATTTGTTCGCAATATCGGTGAGAAAGATTATATATTTGATCCCTGTAAGAAAATCTTTCTAGAAAACTGAAAGAGGAATATGGATAAACTAAATCCTTGGGGAAGCTTTAAGATATCCGACTCCTGGAGGAGACGAACCGACTGAGGAATATTTCGTCAAGGTTGTGTTATGTTCCCGCCAAGTCCAAAATTTTACAACCGATCTCAATAGTCTTGGAAGTGTGAAAATGTTACATTCAACAATTTGAAAAGGTTTGTTAAAATGTACTTATGTTTGAAGTGAAGTAGGCAAGTCCAAAAATCAAAATTGTATAAATAGAAAAGAAGGAAATTAAATAAACTACAGGACAACGGGGAAAAACAGCTAATTAATTGAAGTTTGGGACAAAGTGGCCAGTTTTCTGTACAGACGCTGACCGGACGCACTACCTTCCCTTCTTACCAACCCGCCACAACTGCCCGGGTCAAGAATTTGCCACTGTTTTTATACGCTCATGTTCTGCCTGGATACCATTACATGCTTTAGCTTTGAGACCGTCAGATAATGGTATACTTGGGTGAGCTTTTCATATACTATTATCAGAGGACCGTAAATACTCCCAAAATTTAAATGTATTTATTTATTCCCTTATTAATTTATTTTCCATTAATAGGCAGTTATGAAAAATTTATCCACATCTATCCCTGTACACTAAAGTCTTGCTATATAACAACATTTCCTATTTCATATCATAATAAAGATTGTACCAGAAATTTAAATATATACAAGTTTACTTAGCCACACACCAAGTCTGTTTGAGCTCTAGTGTTAAGATACTGAACTTGATACGTCTCAGTTATTCTCTTTTCTGACAATTTTAAGCTTATATGTGTAGAGGTTTTGGTAACTTTAAGATTTATTGGTTTATGAACCTTTCCATTGTGCTAACTTACATGTTCATTCAGAAAAGCTTAGTTATAAAGATATTGTGTCGCCACCACCTCTACCACACCACCATCCCTTCTACCACACTACCACTTCTTCTACCACACCACCGCCTCTACCACACCACCGCATCTACCACACCACCACCTCTACCACACCACCGCCTCCACCACACCACCGCCTCTACAACACCACCACCTCACCACCGCCTCAGTAGTACGTCTTCTCACCAGCCTACGTATATATAGTATTTATTAAACAAAAATATGCTTCATCTGACTTTTTAATATGCTTTTGTATATTTGCCTCTCTTTTAATTATATTCATTTGTTTACATATTAATTAATCACTTTGTATCTCCTCAACTAGAGGTGCCACCTGCCACACCGAATAATGTAACACGTCCTCGTACACCGCCGCTAACACTGGTCATTTTACCACCCATACCTTGCACGCCACTTAGTCACTAAACCACACAATTGTCTAACACAATTAATGAACGTGAAGACGTCGGCGGTAATTGCTATTAAATTATTCTGGTCAAATTGCTTTTCTCGGCGACAAATTATTCTTAACCTTTCAGGAGACTGCCACTCTTACGTCCTCCTCAAGCCTTGTAATTTACGACCAACAGATTATTCGCCTCAAGATAACAAATAACATTGCCGCTTGTGGCTACTGCTTCACCTACTATGTAAGCTGCAATAAGCAGTAAAACACTCAAGTAATCATGATCACTGATGCCGAACGTCTTTCAATACGGAGCGATTTACGATTGTCATAAACATTAAAATCTGTCGTGTATCAGCGGTCTGTCTAGGACAAAATTAATAAATAAACGCCATCACTCATATACTGTACAGTCGTGTCATTAGTTCGTTAAAGTGATACCTAATAACTTAAAAAGATACACAATAACAATTAGTGTTATAGAGAAATCAGGGAAGAAAAAACTACAAGTTTAAGAGTAACAACACAACGCGCCCTTTAAGTTTACTTAACAACTTTACACAAACCTCACTTCTCGCAGTCCTCCAAAACATCTCGACAAAACAGTCTGTAATCTGCCGTAAAGACACGGATGGCGGCACTCCTCGTCTCAACGCTATAAACAGATCCCTGCCGTGAGCAAACCAAGGGAAAAACACCGTCACTTTATGAAGGTGCTCCACTAATTCCCACCTCCACCCCAGGCTGCGGCCATTCTACAATTCTCTAAAGACGGGTCGCGTTACGCCGGCTGTCACCCACTATTTACATCTTAATTGGTTCCCGCCGTTATAATCGCTGGTTGGGTCATTTTTCTTCGCAACTTTGCAATTGCCTGGTCTTCTTTCGATTTTAGATGAAGAGAATATTGTTTCGAAATAACTTTATAATTGGACCTGAATATGCTATTTGAATACTTAATGTGAGCAGTATTTACGACACAAACAGGCAGGTTAGTTATGTCGGGAATATAATTTCATTAGACTTTGTAAGCCTACACAAAATTATTGAGGGTTCTGTGTTGATTTCCACCAACTCAAATAACATCATATAACCCCGCACTGCGGTAAATTCTTTAGACATGCATACAAATGAGCAAAATTTTACACATACTCATGCAGATACACATAAATACACAAATATGCACAGGCGTCTATCCTTTCCCACTACAGACCCTTACTATATACTGTACTTAGCCAGACTCCTCAGTCCTCACCCAATACACTCCCGCCGTCACATGTCAACAAGTTACCAGAGGCACAGAAACCTCACCACTGCACCGCCGTCATCTTGACTGTGGTGACAACACCCGCTAAGTTCGGTTTGTCGGCAAGTTGTAAGCGCAGTTAGAGGGTGGAGGCTGTAGGGTAGCAGTGAGAGGAGAGGAAAGTTGGTGCTACCGCGATGTTAACACTGTTAGCAGTTGTACATTCTCGGCGAATTATATCATACTTATGTGTTAAAATATGTATTAAAAATATACATACTGGAACCTGAATGTGATTCTACTTGTGGGTCATATAATTATATGTTCAGTATATAGCAGCTGGTGAACGCTACTTTTCATAAAAAAAACAGAATTGCAACACAATTACGAATTTCCCTTAATGCAAAGAAAATTTGGTAAATACTTATTAAACTCGTAACCCCCTTACCAGCATGACCCTCGACCTGATGCTGGGTATTACTGTGTCAAAGAAATTATGCCCACAAGTGTACACATTAAAAGACATCTATAACTCTTGGTACAATTCTGTACACGCCTAACCTAATTTGATCTGATCTAACCTGAAACTTACCAAATCTAAAACATCATACTTATTTCAGTGAAGCATTTTTTTTAATTATCATTGATGACAATGCAACGTATGGTTAGCACTGTTGACAGTGCTTGATTACCACGAGAAAGCTAAATTGGCATTTCTAAGCATTATTAACTTTGATGACATATATGATTTAGCTCTTATGAGAATGCCAGGATAACAGAGACAATGCGCTTGGTAGTTGAAAAGTTGGGCTAAACTATAACGGTAGAGGGCTATAAGTTAGCTGTTGAAGGAGAGCTAAAAGAACAACATATTAGTAGTGGTGGGAGCGACAGGTTAACATTAGTCGAAATGTCACTTCTTAAGGCATTGTGAAGTTAACAGTAGAAGCAGTGTACAGTATATTGAGTGGTAAACATTCTAACTTAACAGTATTAAGGGAGCTAAGTTACCTGTGATACCGACTTTAAGTTAGTTGTGGCTGGAACCACTCAGTGTTATACTAGGGTAAAAAAAAGTTGGGGGATCCATTTGAGGTAATGATGATGTGTACCGCCCGGGAGGAGGAGGAGGTGGAGGAGCCTGGTGCTGGTTTGGGTGGAGAGGAGGAGGGGGCTAGTGCAGGTTCATGGTCCAGAGTGTCAAAGGCTCGTACGATAAATATTCCTCGTACCTGAAGGTGTAATTATGTATCTAAGTAGTTGACGTAAGCTAAAGCACAAAACTAACATCCAAAAATAACAAACATATGAAGAAAAACTATTGAGATTTATTTATTAAGCACCAGACAAAATGTAGTCGTACAGTATACTGTACTATCGTGGACAAAAGTTCGCTCCCTGTAGTGAAACTGAGACACGGGAATGAGTCTCCGAACTGACTTAACCTGATTGTTATCTGGTGCGGGTGTGCTGTGCGGGTCGATCCTGCTTCAGTTTGGGGAAGGAGCGAACTTTTGTCCACGATAGTACATAGTAGAGAGAGAAGTTTCTAGGTAGGATTTTGTGATTTGATTTATGTTACATGGTATTAAGTGGATATATCTAGTTGTTAGTATAAGGTTACTAGTGATGCTGAGTTCAAATGTTATTATTGTACTTTAACTTAAGTCAATCCATTACATTCTTACATCACAAGTTATGAGGTACACAGTGTACATGGCGGGGACTTTGGCTAGTGTTAATCTCGACGTTAGTGACAAATTTACAAGAGTCATAAAGATATAATGAAAAACTGAAAACTTCTTAATAAGATCATTGAACATAATAATCTTTTGGGAATATTTTCGGGACTTTTAACCTGTGGGTAAAGAATTTTGTCTCCAGAAATACATTTTATTTTGCTTATATAAAAATAATCCCTCACTTCTGGCGTTCGTTATTACCTTATCCTTTGTTACTACATGTTGCTGATGCTGTGTTATTTATATCTCATTTTTAAGGAAATATTATTTTCTTTCCAATTAATTTGTGTCTTGGTGCAGTACAGTACAGTACAGTACAATGCCCCTTGACATCTCCATAGCATTTGACAGGGTATGGAACAAGTCTTTGCTTTCTAAAATTCCCTCTTTTGGTTTCTCTCCCCCACTTTGTTTTCTAATCTCCAGCTTCCTTGAGAACCGATTCATGGCAGTTGTTGTCGAGGGATCGAACTCTCGCTCTTTCTCTACCAATAGTGGTGTCCCACAGGGTTCTGTTCTTTCACCTTCTCTCTTCCTACTTTTTATCAATGATTTACTTCACACTACAACTAATTCTATCCATTCTTACGCTGATGATTCTACTCTTCGCTCTTCTTCACATTTTACCCTTCCCCCGAACTCTCAAACCAGATCTGTTTCTAGAGCTGATATCATTACATCTATCAATGCGGATCTGTGCAGCATCTCCGAATGGGGAAGTACAAACTTGGTTAAATTCAATAGTAATAAAACTCAGTATTTACCAATTACACTTTCCAAATTAGATGGTCTTCCACCAATCACATTTCAGGACGCTACCATTCTGCCAAATTCTAAAATAGATATGCTAGGCCTCACCATTTCCTCTAATATGTCAAGGAAGCCACACATCCTCAACGTTGCTAAAGCTGCCTCCCGAAAGTTGGGAATTCTGTACAGATGCCGTAGCTACATCACTCCTGAGCAGTTGCTTCAAGTATATAAGGGATTCATTCGACCTAACTTGGAGTACTGCTGTGGGGTGGCTCTACTTCTTATTAACTCTCCTCCTTTAGTTGACAATCTTTCTTCAATTTCTCTTCGCCGCAATGTTGCTTCAATCTCTCTCTTTTACAGGTACTTTAACGGGCAATGTTCGGTGGATTTGGCATCCTGTGTACCGCCGGCAAGGCCGTGGGCTCGTAACACACGTCTTGCCCGCGGTGCCCACCATTTCTCTGTGGATGTCGGTCACCCTAGAATAACCCGATATAGTAGGCCTACATCCTTCTTTCCTTTCACAGCCAAACTGTGCCCGGGTGGGCTAATCCCCTTAAAAAAAAAAGTACAGTACATACACAAAACAAGAAGTTATCCCTCCTCCTAGTCACAGGCCTGGCATTTGACATTATTAGGGACCTGCCACTCTTTGCCATAAACAGATAAAATGTACCGGGAACTTTCCCCCCACACATTCATCATTCTCTCACTTTATGTAACTTGACAAAACCTATGACCCTTCAGGCTTTTACGCCCTTAATGTACGAGTCATAAAGGCAAGTATGAACTTTTCATACTTCCCTGTTGAGCGCTGTAAACGCTTCTGCGCTTCACCTTGCACAGGATGTAAGGTGGTGCCCAATAAACTAGCCCCCTCGGGGGCAAATCTGAAATCTGACACAAAACAAGCATATAATGTATAACTCG